AAAAAAAAAAAAAAAACCTATGTACAAAATGCAGCCGTTAATATTTCTCAAGAGCACTGAGTTGTATTGAGTCATATTATGTGAAATTATAAAATACAATCAGAAAAGGGCACTTCACATGCCATCACAGTCATTTTGTAAAGTTCAGTTTGGTAATTCCGAGCCGCATTTAATTTTCTCTGAAAATTCCCACACGGCAGAAAGATATTGCTCTTTGTGGCTTTCAAGTCTATTTCAGAGAACTGTAAAACCACCACCTTTTGGAATTAGCACTTTTCCTATAGACACTACATCACTTATACCAAATAAAGTCACATAGGCGTTTTCATTAATATGAATGCTAAAATAATAAGTGGTTTTCCTACATAACCATTCTGGGATTTATGAAAATTAGAATTCTGCATTTTAGTTTGGTCTGAATCATTTGTAGTTCTTCATCTTCACTGATAGGGGGGGCTAGTAATTTCTGTATTAATTATAATATTTTAGCATGTTAAAATCTATATCTAGATGAAACAGATACTTCAAAGCTTCAAAACTGATGAAACTTCATACTTCTCTTTTAAGGGATAAAACCGTTTGCATTAATATGTGAAATATACTACTAAAACACCCCCTGCTGATTTCATAGGCTTTGCAGGGAGTTATGCATAATTTTCTGAAAATTAAAGGACTGAGGATCAGTATTTATGAGATCTCAAGAACTATTAAAAACTTGGAAGATTCTCCTAAAATGGAATTTTAAAAATTCAGCTCAACAATTATTTAACACACGCCAGAGGTAAAACAGCAGAGTAAACTCAGAAGATCAGAGTTTGAGATTCAGCCTCATGCTTACCCACACCATAATGGTGCTCATCTAATATCTTTGCAAACTGACAACACAGAGTTGAAATGAGAATTAAGTGCAATAACTTGGCAAAGTGCCTTGTAAAATAATAGGATGTAACCTCAGAAATGCTGACTGCTGAAGGTAGCATGCTTAGGACAAGAATTCTCCTATTTAGATGTGAGGATAAATTCTCAGGAATCCACAAATTCTCCATGTAAATGTGTTTTCACTCCTTTTAATTTTGTTTGTGTTTTTATGTTGGTGTTAATCTTTTTTTAAAAAGTTCATGGAGCACATTCTAGATCATCGAATATCCTCCTTGCAACTGCCATGCAATATACATATTCAAGATAGTATTGGTGCCAATTAATTCAGCTTCATTTGTTTCCAAGCTAATGAAAACAGATACAAGTGGACTTTAATTTGTAGCTTCCGTTTTCCTCCAAGAAAAAGGCAAGGCACGTGGGCAACAATTCTGAGCAAAGATTTGGTGTTAATGTAGATCCAGAAAACTGATGAGAAAATCATTACAGGGCACACCATAACCTTAGTAAGCTGAACTTTTAAGAGGACAAAATCTTGCCAGTCTGCATTAAGAGCAGTGATTTAACACCCTGATTTAACATCATTTGTACTGATGTTGTAGCTTTGCATATATTTATTGTAATTGTTTTAGTTAAATAACCACATGAAAACTGTAAACCTAAGCTTATACTCAGATTCATATTCCATTTATTTAAATAACATTATAGGGGCGCCTGGGTGGCTTAGTCGGTTAAGCGTCTGACTTCAGCTCAGGTCATGATCTCACAGTCCGTGAGTTCGAGCCCCATGCTGGGCTCTACTGACAGCTTGGCTATGCTGACACCCAGAGCCTGCTTCGGATTCTGTGTCTCCCTCTCTCTCTGCCCCTCCTCAGCTCATGCTCTGTCTCTCTCTGTCTCAAAAGTAAATAAACATTAAAAAAAATTTTTTTTAAATAACATTATAAAATTAACATACATTAGTTAACTTAAAAATAATTTAATATTTGAGGGGTGTGGCCCATGAAATCAGAACTCAGAAAAGAAAACACTCTAGTTAAATCTTCTTTCTACACTTTGCTGTGTGATCCTGGGTAAGTCAAATGCCTCCTTAACAGTAAAATAAGGATAATAATTTCATTCACATAGGAACACTCTGAGGAGTAAATGAAACAATTAATGTAACCGTGAACGAATGTCTTCCCAAGTATGGTATGTTGTGGAAAATAAACACACTGAATCAAGAGTTTAGGCTTTCAAACTACATTTCTATGCTGCCTTGGGCAAACTGCCTTACCTCTTTGAGAGTCACCTCCAATTTTCTAAAGCTAGGAGGTATGTCAGATTATCTCACAGTTCTTTTTAATATTGCTGTAACAGAAGGTAGTTGTTTGGGTTTTCTATTGAGATTTCAATGGAAATTCCATTCATTTGATTTCACTCATATCATCTCCCCAGTTATTTGGTTTTCCATTAGCTTGATTTTCAGCTTACTTCTCTGAAAACTTAAAAAAAAATGTTATGATTTACTGTGGTCAATGCAGCAGTTTGCAAAACCAGGGTCAGAAAAGCTAAATTCTCTGTTCTAGCAGAGAGATTTCAGTCTTTCTTTGCTTTGTTGTTTTTTTTTTTTCTGTTATAACAGAAAGACAAAACTCAGATTTGAGTCTGTACTTAGATGTAAACATTCAAGGCAAGTCAAATGATCTCTCTACCTTGACTACACTGCTTAAAAAGCAGGCTCTGGACACAGACTTGTGGATTCAAATCCTGATTCCACTACTTATTAGCTATGCAGCCTAGGAAAAAAAAATTGCTGAACCTCTCTCAGCCTTTATCTTTTGTAACAATTAATGGGATAATAGTTGTAAAGCACCCAGCTGTGAAGCGTGGTATTTTTGGAAAACCTCAGGGAATGTTAGCTATTATTAGTATTGTCACGTTTATTTCCCTTCCTTTTCATCCTTACCTTTCCGGTTATGCAAGAGACTGCAAAACTTGGAGCATGGAGGGGTAATAAGAAAGCTCTGGGAAAGTAAACAAGGAGTGGCAACTGGTAGTCAATGCAAAGGCAGAGGACTAGAAAGAACCGCCACCATACATGTCCAGAAACTTAGACTGGATCTGGGTTCCACAATTTTCTAGCTTTGTGAATATCAATTAATTCATATCACCTAAGTTTTTGTTTCCTCCTCTCTGACCTGAGACTAGTAAGACTGTTAGCGAAAGGCTCAAAAACCGATATTCAATATACATGACTTCCTAAACTCTCAACAAGGCGGCTTTTCTCCTTGACAGAATATGTTTAGAAGGGTCAGAAGAATTGGATTCTATTTCTAGCCTTCTCACTTTTGTACTGTGTTCAAAACCTTTAACCTTCTGGGTCGCCTTCATCTGCTACATCATTACAGTAGTAACGACCACCATGGATTGCGGGCTTACCGTATGCCATGCATTGCACTATGTTCTGAATCTGCACACAGGGCAACTTTCTCATTTAGTGCTTGCAATTTTAAGGCAGATATATCCATTTCACAGATGAAAAAACTAAGGCTGAGAGATGTTAGAAACCTGCCATCCGGCACCTGCAGTGCTAAGATTCTAAAATCACCCACCATAAAAGAGAATTGTTAGCCACCAATAGCTTTGCCTCCAATCACTGGCTTTCCCACAATTACCCACAGAGGGGAAAGTTGGCACATCTACCCTCCGGAATTCACCACGGCGTGTGCGGGGCTCCAACAATCCTCAGATCCGCGCCTGCGCTTTCCAGTCCAGGCCCCGCCTCGCCCCGCCTCCGCGGGCCGCTCTGGCCACCTCCCACCCGGGAGAGGCCCCGCCCGCCGAGGGAAAAGCAGCGCACACCCAGCCTGCACCGCGCTTAGCTAGACGCGGAGCAGGAGCTCTGGGTGCACCCGGATTTCCTGTCTGCCCTCTTCGCTTCCGGCGAGGCACATCCGACCAATGAGGTGGGCTGGGAGGCGGGCTCGGAGGCGGGCCTTTACGCTCCCAGACTCCCGCCACCTCCCTCTCCACTCCCCGACGATTTAAGAACAGCGTGAAAAAACTAGCCAAGTGGCTTGGGTGGTTTCGCGGGGCCTTATGGCTGCTTCTGGGACGCTGAGCACTTTCCGCCTTCCGCCGTTGCCCACGATTCGAGAAATCATTAAGTTGTTCAGGCTGCAAGCGGTGAAGCAGCTATCCCAGAATTTTCTCCTGGACTTGAGGCTGACAGGTGGCTGTCTTCTTAGTGCTCCCCGGCTGTCTTCCCCGCATCCCTGGGGACACGGGCCGGGGGTCTGCGCGCGGATCCTGCGGGCGGGTATCTGGGGTCAGGCAGTGTGCAGCGGGCCTTAGGTCAGGTCCTTCTACCGCTCTGTGCAAAGAACTCCGGAGCCCCGCCCAGGAGACGCGTGGAATGCGTTGTTTGCTCGCGGAATGGCGTGTTCGGGGGTTTGCCGTGGGCCAGGGGAAGCAGGTGGTACAGACGCCGAGCAAACCCTGGGGGAGGCAGGGGTCGCGTATCGTGTTAGGCGGTTGTGGAAATGCGAGTCTTGCTGCATTAACACTAGGTTTGATTTTCATGCAGTCCGAAGTTAGAATTTCAATTAGTGCGGGGAGTTCTTCGAGAACACGTCGGAAAGTGGGTCGCTCATGGGATTACTTACTTAAACGCTTACTTGTTGAATGCAAAACCCGCGGGGCGCAAATATTCAGTAAAATACACGTCAAACAGACGACTTTGTGCTAGTGCTGGAGGTGCAGTTTGGGAGTGAACAAGGCAACGTCTTTCCGCAAGGGGCTTACGTTTTTTAGTAGGTTTACATTGTTCCCGTCCCTGATTTTAAGTCGCTTTCTGTGAGGTAAAACTCACGTGCCATCGAATGAACTAGTTTGAAGTGCAGAGTCTGGTGACAAACGTATGCATGCGTTTAACCACCGCTCCTGTGTCTTAGTGATACTTCTAGAAGGTGAGGTTGCAAGACTAACCTGTCTAACAAATGTGTCCACTAATTCACTGTTGCAGTAGAGTATTTGAGATACTGATACTCCATTTGGCCCCCTTTAGGAGCTAAAAAGATCAACGAATCATACCCAAGAAGTTCATTTTCAATTAAAGGAAGTGGAGTTTACAAAGCACAATAATGGGATGTGGAGTCTTTATTCTGCCAGTAGAAACTAAGCTTCAGGTTCTCCTATGTTAATTGGAGGAGGGCCCCTCCTTCCAGAGCGTTAAAGGGTTATCTGCTTCTAAAATTCTCTAGTCCTAGAAATGACCAGAGCCAGCATTACCAGTTGTTAGTCACATATGATAGACATAAAGCACCATTCTCAAGGCTGAAAATAGAGATCTTTGTGTGTATGTTTTTAAATGTTTGAGAGAGCATGAGCAGGGAAGAGGGAGAGAGAGAATCCCAAGCAGGCTCCGTGCTCCCCATCCCACGACTATGAGATCATGACCTGAGCCAAAATCAAGAGTACGAAACTTAACCAACCAACCCACCCAGGTGCCCTGATCTTATATTTTTAATATAAAAAAAAATTTCTTCATTTATAGTATCTCATGTGAGGCTTTGTTCTCCCCGGGGATAAATTCTGGAATCTAGGAACTATTCCCTCTTCTCTGGGAACCAGAGTAAGAGATTAAAGTACCTGTCTGCGGTGGGAAACTCTGGTGAGAGCACATGCTTGGTGAACTGACAGTGCTTCTTTGATACTCATTTGTATTTGAATGTGCCTGAAAAGTTTGAGGGCAGAGCCCCTGACCTGCCTACCATCTTAGTTCTCCATTAAAAAAAAAAAAAAAATGAGAATAGGGGCGCCTGGGTGGCTCAGTCGGTTAAGCGTCCGACTTCAGCTCAGGTCACGATCTCGCGGTCCGTGAGTTCGAGCCGCGCGTCGGGCTCTGGGCTGATGGCTCGGAGCCTGGAGCCTGCTTCCTACTCTGTGTCTCCCTCTCTCTCTGCCCCTCCCCCGTTCATGCTCTGTCTCTCTCTGTCTCAAAAATAAATAAAAAAACATTTAAAAATTTAAAAAAAAATGAGAATATTGAATTCATTACGCCTTTTCCTTCTGAAAGGGATAATAATCATCCCTGTACCCTCTGAAGGGCATTGGTCTGTAATGGAGGAAGGATTGCTTTAGAATTTACACCTGAGCTGGAGTCCCTTCTCTCCCATTTGCTTTCTAAATGACCTTACCCAAATGAAACAAATGAAAAGTTAAATTGGGATCGTAGTTCTTAATGTGTTGGAAGGATTGTTGAGATGCGTGGGAGAAAGCTTGTAAACCACCTAAACAAATGGTTGGGGACGTGTATTAATTCCCTCCCAGCCAGTCAGAAGGCAAACTATTTTTGGATGGTTGAAAGACTATTACTGCGTTGAAGCCTACAAAAATGGTACTATACAATCCCAGCGAACACTGCAGAGAAGTGCTGGTGTGTTTTCACTGGCTAAGTTGTTTTCAGTGGCTAAGCTCCCACTATCCCAGGAGCCTCACTTACTTGGATTTTATTATCTCCGTCAGTAAGACCAGCCCATTGTATGTTATTCCAGAAGTGATGATCGATTGCCACAATCCTTTTCATGATTTCTTAATGTCTGCTTACTTAAAGAGGCTGATTAATTCAAAACATTAACTTTTCCATATCAATTTGCATATTTGCAAAGTTTAAAAAACTTCCAGGTATAAGTTTAGCTTTTTCCAGAAAGTGACCAAGAATCTGTAAATTTCTGCTAATCCTATGATCTAGGAACTTGTTGCTATGGCCATGTTGACCAGCTATATGTCTATAGGTAAAAAGGAGACTCTCGTTACTTTTTGCTTTTGAATTTATAACTGGGAGCAATAGAAATTCTGAATGTGAAACTGGTCTTATTCAGATATTCAGTACCTGGCAAGTGTAGAGAGATGGTTTAGCTGGTCAGTTGTTAGGAATTGATTGGTTTGGCAGAGGAATGGATAGAAAATACAGTGTTAACGACGTTTAAGTTAGGAAGTTTTGTCATGATAATCCCGTCTTTTCCTAAGGGACTGATACAATTCAGCTATAATGTGGTAGAATATTGGATGGCCACTACATGTTTATTGGTTTAGGCTAAGAGTTAACTAACTAGATAAATATGGTGTAAAGGATTAGTGAAGTCATGGTTGATAAGAATTTGTGGAGATTATTTTTTTGTTAACTTCTATACATTGAAATTTGTCCAGATAATTAAAACTTTTTTTTTTTTTTCTCTCCTAGATAAAATCGTAAGGAAAGCTGGCGATCTGACAAATGCTTATGTTTATGAAGTGGGCCCTGGGCCAGGGGGAATCACAAGATCCATTCTCAATGCCAATGTTACTGAACTTCTGGTGGTTGAAAAGGATAGTCGATTTATTCCTGGATTACAGGTGAGAGACTTAAAATGCCTTTTCTAGGAGGTAAAAACCCAATTTAAATCTTCAGTCCATGATTCTTTAACCTCAGGATATCCAAAGATTGTGTAGGTTGCTCCTCAAACTGCAGATCTCCAGATCCTTTTCCAGAGATTCTGATTCTGTGGTCTGGAGAAGTCTAGGAATTGCATTTCTAACAAGCATCCCCACATGGTCTGTTGACCACTATTTGAATAAACCTGCTTTATGTATTAATGTTAACCTAGTTTTGTGTGATCTGTTTTTTTAATCTAATAGCCATGTATGTTCTGGCCCATTCCTTCAAAACTAAGGAAAATAATTAATGCCAATAATGACCCCGCTATTGGCATGACTTCTGAGAACTTCATTTAGATTCAGAAAATCTTTTCTGTAAGCAAAAGATGGAGAAAACCGAGGTTTCTTTTAAGAGAGACTAATTGTCAAGCTTAGGCATTTGTTAAGAATTTCTTAGGCAAAGAAGTGAAGTTGTACCACTGTACACATAGATTTAAGATGAGGTTTGAATGAAATGAGACAATAAGTGCTGTTCTATGAGAAATATTTGAAGGAGCTGGGCGTGTTTCCAAGGAGAGGATCTTTGAGTGAGGGGATTCAGAGCTGCCTGTGAAAGGTAGCAGTGAAGAAGATCGCTTATTTTGATTTCTGGAAAAAAACAATCCTACAAATAGGTAAGAATTGAGGAAGGCAGATGTGGATTTAAAATAAGGTGGGACTTACATTTTTTTAAGTGGTAGCAAACAGCGGAACCCATTGTATCAGGGATATTGTAAAGGGAATTCTTCACAGGGGGCACTTAATGGCTTAAGGAACTTTGATTCCTCTGTAATTCTAAAAGTTTAGAAGAGCCCTTAGCCTTTGGCTTAGATAAGCAGCAATTTATTGAGTGTAACAGAAAAATAAAGTTATCTGCGTTATTACTATCATACAAGAGACAAATTGGTTTACAATTGGTACGTCCTAATGCTTGTGTATGCAACAATTGAAAAATGTTTAATTTCTGCCAGAATAGTTTGAGGAAATTTGTTTGAAAATCTAGGGCTTTGTGTGCATGCAATGGGTTTATTTTGTTTTTTTTAAAGGAGTTTTTATTTATCAGATTTTATTTGGCTACATCTAGTTTTTGCTTTAAAAAGTTATATAAAATTTAGTTTTATCTAATTTTTACACTATTGACAGAATTGGTTTTAGATTTATAACTTTATTTTGGGATTGCCATATGGTGCATATTCCTTGATCAAATATGGAATTTAATACTGATTTTTTGCTTTGAATTACTTTCTTTCAAGAACTGTCTGCATCTCAGAAGTGACAGTGGGAATATTTTATTTTCGGTGAGATCATGAGATAATAATAAGAAGCTGAAGCACACTATGTCATTCCCTTCAGGTTTTTTCTTTTTTCTTTTTAAGTTTTATTTATTTATTTTGACAGAGAGAGAGAGAGAGAGGAGAGAGAAAGCATGAGCAGGAGAGGGGCAGAGAGAGGGAGAGAGAGAATCCCAAGCAGGGTCTCGGCTGTCAGTGTGGAGCCTGACATGGGGCTTGAACTCACAAACTGAGCTCATGACCTGAGCCAAAATGAAGAGTCGGTAGCCACCCAGGCGCCCCTCAAATTTTTTCATCTAGCCCTTTCTGGACATAAGAATACTCTTCTGACTTTATTGCCCTTGAAGAGACTTCCTAACCCTCAGTCTTCCCATCTGTTATGTGCAATTCTTTCTCATAAGGCAAGGGGGTGAATCAAATTTCTGTTCATCCCCACCTTAATTTACATACTGTCCTCTCTGATCCCAACAAAAGATGTGTGAAGAGGGGCTGTTTAAAAGACAACTACACCCTTCTCTTTTCAAATGCCTGCCCCAGCCCCTGCACTCCTAACCCCTGCCTTGTTTTATTTATCTTGTTGGATTGATCATCATCGGATACATTTTCTGTATGTTCTTATTTATTGTCTACCTCCCCCCCGCCTGGAATGTACTGCAAAGAGCATAGAGATTTTTGTGTGTTCTCTTCCGTGCTGTATCTCTACCACGTGCAACAGTGCCTGGAGTATAGCAGGTGTTCAATAATATCTTAAATGGGAAAATAAAAGGTCGACTTTATGTGTCTATCTAATCAGCCAACTAAATGTGTCATTTTTAAAATTTTTTATTTATTTTGAGAGAGAGGGCGCGCGTGCGTGTGCCCATGAACGGGGGAGGGGCAGAGAGAATCTGAAGCAGGCGCTGCACTGTCAGCACAGAGCCGGACCCAGGGCTCATCTCACGACGGTGAGATCATTTCATCGCGAGAATGAATAATTGTGTGGCGTTGGTTATTTAAAAAGTTTTGTGACCTTTTTTTCTGAATACAAAGATTTGTTTCAAGGTAAATTACTCTGCAAGAAACGTGTATTTGTCTTCTTACATGTTTCTGTAGAAGAAGCAAAATTAATTCTTAGTGTCTTATATGCAGGAAAAGAATTTGCCTTAGGAAATGTTGGGTACTAAAATATCACATAGATTTCTTTTTCCTGTAAAGAAGGTTTTAATATGTAAAACCACTTTCATTTAGAGGTACTAAATTAATCATGAAAATGAATAAAGGCAGAAGGTGTGATCTATTTAAAGGATTCCATTTTAGTGGTTTCTGAGCTAATAGAATTACTTTTTAAAGAAATTGTAATAATTTATAAAATGTCTTCTAGCTGAAAGTATGTCATTTGTGTCTTGATCCAATTCTTATAATATCGTGAGGCATCTTAGGATCTTACTAAATACAGTAGTATGTTACTAACACAGTTACTAACACAGTACTAACATACAGGTTTCACCGTCAGCATGTTGTAAGGTAAAAAAACATGTCTGATATGTGAAAGCACTATAATATAGCTTTGTGTTTAAAGAACACAGACTGCAGCATCAGATTGTCTGGGTTTGACTTCAGGCTCTACCATTTACTGGGTGTATGACTTTGGGCAGGTAACTATGTCTGGTTCAAGGGCCTCAGTTTGCTTGTAGGATAGTAATGAGGATTAAATGAATGCCTCATACTTAGTTAACCATGCAATATATTTTTCGATATAAGTAATCAATTCAATTATTATCCCTGTGCCTTGGGCATTTCTATTAATTAAAGATTGATCATGAGACTGCTAATCTGGAAAGAGAAGAGGAAGGTTATTCCTTTGGATCACTGGAAAATAAATCCCTAGTGCTGTGGGAATGTTGGAGCTTTGTCCCACCTCCTTGAACCAGCATTGGACATTCAGGGTTTCTTTCTCTTAATATTGTAGCATTCTCTTGTGATTGTGCATTTGGGGTGGGGGGGGTGAGGTCTCTATTATTTTTTAGTTATTTATTGTTACATTTCTGTGGCTGAGCCGATTGTCTCTGCTTTGGAGGGGAGTGAGATTTTTTTAATACCTCAAAGAACTTGAAATCTTCCCCCATTTCTGAATTAGAGATTACGTCACAGATAACATGTTCTCCTTGAAGTAAATAATCGGGGTTCTTCATTTTTTGTTTTAAGGATTTTGTATATTAATAACAATATGGAGGGTTTACTGCACTAAATACTTTGTTTTACAGCTTTATTGAGTTATTAATGTTCAGTAAACTGCACATGTTGTTAAAAGTGTACAGATTACTGAGTTTTGACAAATACACAATCTCATGAAACCATTACCACAATCAAGAAAATGAACACTCATCACCTTCAAGATTCCTCATTTTCCTTTATAATCCAGCCCTCCCTCTTCCCTTTCCCTATCTTAGGGCAACCACTGATCTGCTTTGTCAATGTAGGGAATTTCCATTTTTTAGAATGTTATATAAATGAAATCATACAGTATGTGTTTTGTTTTTTTTTTTTTTGTCTGATGTCTTTTACTGAGCATAAGTATTTTGAGATTAATCCATGTTGCAGTATTTATCAATAGTTTAATTTTTTTTTATTGCTGACTAGTTAGTACTCCACTGTATGGCTATACCAAATTTATAAATCCATTCACCAGTTGGTGGACTTGGAGTTGTTTTTATTTTTTGGCAATTACATATAAAGCAATCGTCAGCATTGACATGCAAGTCTTTGTGTGAGTACATACTTTGATTTCTCTTGAGTAAAGAGCTAGAGGTGGGATGTCTGAGCCTCATGGCAGGTGTATGTTGAACTTCTTGTGAAACTACCAAACTGTTTTACAAAGCGGCTGTACCATGTATCATTCCCACCAGCGGTGCGTGAGAGTTCCCGTGGCTTCACATGCTTCTCACACTTGGTGTGGTCAGTCTTTTTAATTGTAACCATCCAAGCGAGTGTGTAACAGTATCTTACAGTGTCTTAACGTAGCTTTTATTTGCATTTTCCTAATCAGTAATTTTGGGCATATTTTCGTGTGTTTATTTGCCATCTGTATATCTTTTTGGGGAATCGTGCAAATATTTTGAGCATTTTTTGTTTTGTCTTCATATTATTGCATTGTAAGAGGTCTTTATATAGTTTAGATACAAGTTCTTTGTCAGCTACGTGTTTTGTAATGCTTTCTCCTCAGCTGTGACTTACCTTTTCATTTTCTTAGACATTTAACAGTGTCTTTCAAAGAGTAAAATTTAGTTTTAATAAAGTTTATCAGTTGTTTTTCCTTTTGAATTTGATGCTTTTTGCATCTTAGGTTAAAGATAATGGCCAAAACAAGAACTAAGAATTTCCGTGTTTTCTTTTAGATGTTTTAAAGTTTTAGATTTTGCACATAGGCTTATGACACATTTTGGGTTACCTTTTGTATGTGGTGTGAGGTGGGAGTAGAAGTTCATTTTTTTTGCATCGTTTGTTGAAAATTGTATCTTTTTCTTACTGAATTGGCTTGTTAATATTGTCGAAACTCAGCTGGTCTTATGTACACTGGTCTGTTCCTGGACTTCCAGCTCTTTTCTCTTGTTCTAGATCTCTCTTTTCATTGATACCAACCTGTATTGATTACTGTAGTTCTATTGTAAG